GAAATATATACTGAAGTATTTTAAGAGAACAAAGCTCAAAAAATATCTTGCTTAAATCCTAAATATTCGAATACTTTGCACTTGCTCACATTTTTGAATGGGGCCGCTCATGATTTATAATGTAGCACTCTTTTCTGCTAATGCACTTTCGAATTTTTTAAAATAATTCATTTATTAAAAAAAGTTCTTTAACAAGAGGTAAGCCGGTTCTTAAATTCTTTAATATTTTACAAATCACGAAGGCGATTTGTTACTAAAAATTTTCATTAAGTACACAACACATTCACGATAGCAATGATCAGGTAATAAAAGATATGTCGAATGTATATTCCGATTTTCATGCAATCCAGGAAGGAACTATTATGTGATTGCCGATAAAAAATATAAGCTTTCTTCGTACGACTAAAATACAACTGTTCACGGACGGAAATAATTGCATCATTCAACAACCGTAGCTTATTACACCTTGTAAAAGATCTGATTTACAGTTTTGTAAAGAGTGAATATTAAAAAACAGAAAATTGAAAAGTGGAAAAAACAATGATTAAAAATGAAGGAAGAATTAAATCATTGCTGATACCAAATAAATGCAAAAGAATCAAATAGTTAGTTATTGAGGGAACACTTTGCAATTTACAAAAGTTGACCCAAAACAAATTACCCTTTAATTATGAAATATAGTGAACGATACAAAGGATATGATTGCTTATATGATAAATTTGAAAAATGATTTATAACCGAATATTAAATTCATGCTGTAAGCTCAAAAATGAGACGATTTAAATCCTGGTATCCGAACGGAGTAAATCTATGATATCAGATAAATGGACGATACAGCAATAATTTTTCATTTATATCTTTGTTCTCTCACTTTTCCTCCTCTTCAATTCCTAATCAGAAGGGAAGGAATCAATTTTTATCCAGTCTTGAATAATATATAAATGCATCAGATTGTTTTCCCGTTGAAGATTAAACAACAGATGCTAAGCGCTTGATCCGAAGTGTTAAAAGTTTTGAATTGAATAATGAAAGTGATTCATACACAATTTTGTATATTTCAGCTAAATATATTGGTAATTAGGAAATTAATTGACTGAAAATTATCGAATAGTACCGTAAAAAACAAGTATTCATATCGGCTTATTTAGGTAATTATAATATGTATTGATGTTAAAAGGAATGAAATATTGATCACTGATAGATAAATTTGAGTAGTAAATAAAAATTGAAATTGAAGTGAAACAGAGCAATTTAGAACAGTTTACATTTTGAATTTAATTCGTGAAAAATTCCAGTTGTGTAAGTGATCATATTAAAGTTCACATTTTTTGATCACTGCAAAGATCATGCAAAAAGTCATCTTTTGAAAAGTTAAAACAGGATTTAATTAAAATTTCTTAATAGAACATTGACTGTTTGAAACAAAATTAAAAATGACAATTTCCAGTCTATGCTTTTCAATTATGATTGGGTTTTGTAGCTCTACTTCAAAATCAGTATAGGCAAAAGTAGTTTTGCAAATTGATACATTTAAGATTTTAAAGAGATTTCATAAAAATTTATCGAAAAAAAGTTTTCCAAAATATGGCTCTCTATCATTTAATCATTTATTGCTTACTGAGCAGCGCTGTACCTGTGACAAAAAAATTGCCTAATAGCCCAAACTAGAAAACGCAAATTCAGATATTGGTATTTCAGAAATAAAGTGGTTTAATAAAAATAATGTATTGGGAAATTAAACAATCTGAATTAATTTATTCCAATTTGTAATTTAATATTACCAAATGGACGTCTATTAATTCCACTCTTTTTAGTATTATTCCTCCGCTTAATATCTTACTTGGAGTTATGAATACAAAAACCTTCTGAATATTGAATTGAATGGATAACAAAAACTGAATTTGTTAATAAATGGATAAAAATTTGAAAAGAAAAGTCGCGGGAAAAACGAAAGTTTGAACACTAATATAAAGCGAAATACACAAACTGAATGAACTCTATGAAGAGCAGAAGGGCGCAAATTTGATAGAGAAAATAAGGTGCAAGTAATTGTTTAATTGACTACGCACTGAACCTTTCGTATTTTTCAAAATTTTCACATTGTCTGCAAATATCTGAGTTTTTTTTTTGCAGCTATTTTTGAAATTTTAAGAAAGTTTTTTTTTTTTTTTTAATTAGAGCAATTTCATGTCATAGTTTTCCCTAGCCGTTTCTGCTTGACATTTTATGTAGACTGAAATACAAAAATGTGAATATGTATATTTTTGATCACAGTAAGTGTTTGAAAAGAAAGAGTTATAAAAATGAAAATTAGTACGGAAAGAATGTGTTAAACAGTGATCATGTGATTACCTTTTAAGTTAATATAGGAAAGCGAATGTTATAATTTCTGATTTCAACTTAATTTTTATTTTAGTTTCTTTTTTTTTTAATATTAACGCAACTAGATTTTAACTCTTATTTCCGGAATGAATTGATAAAAAGAACGTAAGGATTGGATAGGCAAGAAAAGAAGAAAGTCGATGATTAAGAAACTGAAAAAAAATATTCAAATTTGTATGCTACAAACAAGAATTTATGAAATGTCGTCATTAAAAAATGTACAGCAAATTTTCAGTGTTTGGAAAAATTAATTCTTGTAATTAAATTAAAAGTTATCAAAAAAAAAAAAAAAGGATTTTTATCAAAATAAAAAGGAAAAAAAGGATGAACTGTGAAATTAATATCCAAACAGAAATTTTATTATATTCAGCAAGATTATTGCTGCGTGTTGCATAAAGTTGTTAATTCGAAGAATTCAAAATTTTCAGTTTTAATGTATTTTAATAGAATTTTAACCAGATCATTATGATGATTGCCTTTGTAGAAACTAGAATTTAGCGCGTAGCGATGAAACCTCGTTTATAGTCAAAAACGAGTTATACCATAGAAAAATAACAGTTATACCATAGAAAAAAGTAAAACTCGTTTGTAAGCAATTCCTTCAATTGATAAAATCAATTGAAGAACACGCATTTAAGAATTTTGCTAATATTATCAAAATCTGAAGATTTCTTCTTCTTTATCAAACAGAGTGAAAAATGTACTTTCTACAAAAATCACTAAATTAATCCAACTGGATAGTTAGTCTTGTAGAAATTTCAGAAGTATCAATTCTATGGCTGGATACTATCTTATATGGAACTTTTAGAATTTTACACGCTTCGACTGCTATTTAAACGATCGACAGAGATGAAAAAAAAATTATAGTTAGTCAGTAGTGACGTCTGTCCAATGCTAATTGGTTTGCAATCATGGTGAAAGTAATTTAATTAGTGCAAAATTAATTGAAAATGATTATGTCGATCAAAAAAAAAAAAAACATAAAGAAATAAAAAAAACTCGTATAATCATTTACTCAAGAACTTTTTCAGTGCCAAATTTTTAAAAATCAATAGGAAAATAAAAATAAGAATTGTGCTTTTTGTGATCCATGTAAATAGTGATTTAAACGGACATGTCACATATACATATCAGCATCACTCAACGAATTAATCATAAATAGAAATCATTAATTTCCGCTCATGCTCTGTGTCATTTTGTTGACTTCTTATCACACATTTCCTGTTACTTTATTTCTTCCAACTTTCAACTAAAGTAATGACATTTAATGAATCTAAAATTATTTTCATTTTGAGAAGATACTATCATTGATTGAAAAGTTTATGAAATATAATAAGCTTCATGCAACAACGACTATTATTAATATCTAATTTATTTCCAACAATAGGCTCAATGTTCAGCATAGAGCCTAAAGTATTTAACTAAACTTTGAAATGTTTTAAAATTGAAACATAAAAGTAAACCTGTAAATAAATAATAAATGCAGGAATAGATTAAAGTGTTTAAAATCTGATATGTTTTTTTCTACAACGTTTCAGTTTGCCTCCCAGCGAAATCCTTTGTTCTGCTTTTGTTTTTAAGCGATTTTTTTTCCGCCATCACTTAGAATTCAGTCGGTTTTCTCGTCTTCTCAAATTCGAAAACGATTCTTCTTATTGCGTGCCACTTCAATATCAGTTTATTTCTTCATATCTCTTCCTTTTATAATTATTTTCGTTTCTTTTCAAGATTTTTATAATTATTTAAAAGAATGATAAGGGAAAATATTGCCGAAAAGTTAATGTCTTCTTTTAATTACAACATTGATGAGTAATGAAACATTAATATTATTAAGACAAGAGATTCAGTTTACAGTACTAATAAAAATAGATTAGAACGATTTGACAATGCATGAGAATTAATAAGACAAAGTTCAGCGTTCAAAGCGATTGGAATCACGTAAACCGAATGGAAAAACCGGATAGTCATGATTACTCTCTGCTATAATTACATTAAACCATTTACCTTTGTACATCTCTTGAGTTAGTAGTAATAAAATTTTAACAACAAAACTCATTATAAAGTTATGCTCAATTTTAATACTTTTAGAATTTCGTTCAAATTTTATTTCTTATGAACAATTTACAGCATAAAATTGGTCAATGAAGTCAGTAATGGATGATAAAAGAGTAGTATTTGTTGTAATTTGTAACACTGCTGTAAGTATTGGCCTTCAGTTTGCATGCGTAATTTTTGTTAAAATTATTTATGTTAACATTAGCGATATGTTTACTGATATTTTAAACGAAATGGAAAAATTCAAGGTAATTGTCATTCTGCAAAATTTCCAAATGGCATCATATAAAATAAGCAATTTAATATTTGGAAAGACAGCATATTTGATTTTATACCTTTTTCAACATTTTAATTTAAAATTAAAAATCGGGTAATAGAACAAGATTTGGAATGAAAAATTCCATCATCAGAAACAGGATTCATGTTGCTTCAAACAAATAAGAGATAAATGTAGATGTTTAGGAAAAGGAAATAAATTTGTTAATAATTTCGAAAATAAATTTTGGTTATATGATCAAATTACCACTGGAAGTAAAGCTAACCACTTTGTAGGAGCTAGCAAAATGTCCATAGATTTGGTATGGACAAATTCAAAACCTGAATTATTATTTATTGATCGAGGCCATAATGATGGCAATCTTTTTCGCCACCGGAAACAGTCATTTGACAGTCATCCAGCTTGTTGCAGTAATTTCTTTTTTTTCAAATTATATTCAAAAAATATTTAGGTTAGAAGTGTAACGTAATTGTTTAGAAATTGTTCTTCTGAAATAATCTTAGCCATGATTTTTCTTTATCATCATTATCGAGATCATAGAATTTTTTCTGCATTCTTGTTACTGTTTTGCAAAATAAATGATGAGATAACTGGTGAAGCTGGTACTTTTAAAGTATGTTGATGCCTTATTCTATTTGCATTGCTTGGTATAGAAATACGCTGTTTACAGAATGTGCAAGTATGGCGAAATATCCATTAGGTCCACCACCAGGTTCTCCATGATATGATAGTGAAGATGGAGGCTGTTTTCATTCTTGCTAATTTTTTATGATTATTTATTAGTTAAATTAATAATAATTTTTATAGAGGATGGTACACCTGGAATTCTCGGATTAGATGGACTTCCTGAGTTTCTAACGAAATATCAGGATGGAAAATGCATTGAATGCCGACATGGTCTGCCAGGTATGGCAGGTCCTACAAGAACACCCAGTGAGCCTGGACCAAAAGGACTAGATGGAGTAAACGGAGAGTGAGCACCTGCTGGAGTGAGAGGTCACCCAGGTCCACTCGGTGATCCTGGAATGCAAGGTTTGCGATTCATTAAGCATGGGGATACTTCATCGATTTGAGCCATTTTATCTCAAAATATTGGTTTTTTTTAAAAATCTTCACAGCTTACATCACTTATCTTTCAGGGCCAATGGGATCGTCAGGTGAGCGTGGTGAAGATGAGTTACCAGGAGTATAGGCGATACTTGGAAGGCCGGGTCTACCTGGGCCGATTGGTCCAGCGGGACTGATTGGACCTCCTGGCGAACCAGGCATAACAGTGAATGGTGAATTAGGACCGACTGGAATGCCAGGTAGTGCCGGTTTGCCAGGCCTACCTGGACTAAAAGGCGCAGATGGTGAGGTAATAATGAACTATTTTCACATTACATACTATATGAATGCAGTAGAAAAGTAATGGTACTAATTTCTTGCCTCATGTTACACACTATTTTTACAGATCGGAAACCCAGGGATCCCTGGACCTGACGGTATTTATTGTGCATGTCCACAAAGAAACTTGTTCAGCACAATGATATTGTTTATTTCCATCAGAAACAACGATACATGACATATGCAATTGAATATTTCGTCAATAACAAAATTTTGGCACTCTTTTATCAAGCCATACATGCCTTTTCACTTCACCTATGACATATCACATTGAAACGATATGAATGCGCAGTTGCCTTGGCTACCCATCCAGTCGATTCGTTGCAATGAATCGTTTCTCTGTTGATCATTCCTTTTCATCCTTTATCCTAATTCTCTTCCAATTTATTATCAAACATCAACTATGTTCTTCTATTTCATTATGACGTAATTCTACTCAGGGATCACTTTTGAGAAATATTTCGGGTTTACTCGAGATAAATGGACCATGACATTGTTGGTTGTATATGTGCTCAAACATAGTTTATTTTTAATAAAGAAAATCGTTTTTTTTTTTTTTTAAATCTTATCACATAGGAATATGTTATGATTAATTATTTTTTGGAATTTGTTCGAAAAAAGACAAATCACAGCTAACTATTTTGTCCATTTACATTTTATTCACTTTTCTTAGGATATCATTATTTTAACTGTAGTAATAATTGGGAAATCAATATTGAGCTTGAATATAAAAGGTAAGTATTATAAAGCTGCAACTAAACAAATGAAGATTGCTATATGAAATAATTACAGATATCTTTCAAGGCTGAATTTGTACAATTAACAACGGTTAATTAATCAAATAATAATTAAATTGAGGAAAATTATTGCGTTTTAATGCCTTATTTATCCTTTTAAAGATTTCTCATCTCGGAATTTTAAGTTTTCCTACCTAATTCAAATTATTTGGATCATATTTATGGCAGAATTGTTTCCTTTTTTTTTATAAATATAACTTAGTTCGATTAATTTAAACACGATATCATTTGATTAAATATTTACAATTGTTAGTTGGAAGTATATTTACTAAAATAATCATGCCCATATTGATATGATTTAAGCAGTCTTATCACAGTTAACAAATAAGTCATAAACACATGTACCAGATATTTTCTCAATATATTACCATAGAAACGCGTTCAGTAGAGAAATGTGATGGAATAAGCAAAGAAATGAAAGCATTTAATTCAATGGTAAAATACGTTGCATAGTAACGCAGATAGCTTTCTTTGGCCCATTCAATTACTTTCATTAGTTTTGATATCTTATCAGTTCAACGTATATTATCATCAAATATTATCACTCCTCCTATTTCCACTCCTATCTCTCCATTCTTTCTAATTCTCATTCTCTCTTACATCACATTATTTCACTTCTACTACGACTTATCACCTAAATATTTTTTCTGATATCAGTGTATCATTTTATTAGAACGCTTGAAATTATATCACATCAATCTGAGATGACTTAATTCACTATTGACTAAATAAATGAAACATAAGACAATATTGTGGAATCAAACTACAGTTACTGATTTTACTGGTTTTTTATTCTCACTTACAAAAAAGTTTTTATAACATGTCACAAATCTAAACTATAGTCTAATTTGATGTAAAAGAAGAAAGTGCAAGAGGACATTGTATGATGAAATTATAACTTGCTATGTATCAGACACTATGAAGAAATTTGAATATTACTTCATATTTTGTGATTCAAATTAAAATTATTCTTTTCTAATTTCGCCTACCCAATTTTTAATATTCAGATGTTAATGAAGAAAATTTTTGAATGATTTTTCAATTTAATCTCTTCAGAACGAGATATTTCCTTTCTTCATTTCATCCTACAGTCACTACTACTTGATATTTACAATGTAGTACAGCCAATCTCTGGAAAAATGCTACCACTGAAACTACATTAGGCTTGCAGCTGCAGATTAAAAAAAATTGAAACATTCAACATACTGCAGTCTAAACTATCTCAAATCCCATTTTATCAAAAAAAGAGAATTATACATGTATAAGAATTACCGAAAACAAATGTCGCGAATACTATTACAAAATATTTTCTTTTCGAGATTAAGAAAAAAAATTCTTAAATTACGATTGCCATGTTAAATTAAAATGTAGAACTACAGCAATTTAAAACTTTTGAAAACCCAAGTAATAGAAATTTAACTTATATGTGAAGACTTATTCAGTGATAGACTTATTTTGTATTGTCCATGCTTCTTACTGCCAGTCTTTGAGTTCCGATGAATGAAATTCCAAAAATTAGATTTATTTATTAATGTAACTATTGTTTTTGCTTTCAGAAATATCTAAGATGTACACAGACAGAACGAAAGAATTATTTGCAGATTTAATTGAACGCCCACCTCTTAGCGATCAGTTACTGCAACGACCGCCATTTCGTTTCTTGCACGATATTGTTAAAGTCACAATTCAAAATACAGGATTTTTAATGGTTTGTTTTAAAAAACAAACTTTATGTGGGTAGTTTTGACTATATCAATCATTTTGAAGGAATAATAACGTTTTGAAATTTTTTAACATTGGGATAACATCAACTACCGGTTGGCCGAATTAACTTGATTTAAGGTGCTGAACTTCATCTTACATTTAATTTGTTTATGGCATAAGTAGAGTTTCATTTTATTTGTTGCAAAATGTAGAATTTACCAAAACAGTCAACAGTAAGAAAATAGTTAATCAAGCAATAACACCTAACAATCATCCAGTTAAAAAGAATCGAAGATAGATAACAGAATAGTTTGAAGCTGATGTTTAGCATTTAACCTTATCGATTCAACTTTATTTATCCATCCACAAAAATTCATGTTAATTTTACCTTAAAGTAATTTATTTTAAAGTAATTCTATTGTCAATAATATGAGCTAATATTTTTTAGACATCAGTACCATTATTCTTGGTGATGTGAAGAAGTCAAATTATGATGTCATAATTTTATGTCTACTTAAACTTAACAATATTGAGGCATCAAAAAAATTTGTGATTAATGACATTTCAATTTATGTGCTATAAAACTCAATTAATGAATATTTAATGAACTCCTGAGTAGTCAGTTTATTTGTACAGGATAACTTTACAAATGAGGAAATGGATGCATCAAATATAACTGATAAAACAGCAAAAGCGAATTTCTTGAAGACATTGATTAAAGCATTGAACGATGATGGATCATTGAAGAATGTCAAAGCTGCCAAAATAATAGCTGGAAAGGAACCCGAAATGACGAATTTGGTATGTACAAAAATGATTTTAAATTATCTGTAAATTCAAAATCATCTGTAAAATGATAATTGACAGCTGTAATTATAATCAATTTATTAGTAAGTTAGAGTTTTCAAGTTCTATCAGGCACATGCCTGCATGTAATTTTTAGTGATTAATTAGCCGATATCTTCATCAATAAAATAAAAAAAAAAAATAACAAATGCATTTGTTTGGAGTCTTTAGTTTTGCTCTTTTCTTCGCTTGACATTTTATGAAATTTTAGAAGAAATACTTCGAACGTTTTAGATGCTGCAAAAATTAGCGATTAATGCAACAGCATTTCGTGATTCGAAAGAAAGACAAAAGAAAAAAACGCGTAAAAAGGGACGCAACAATAAAGGATTGGAAAGACAAAATAGTGATAATGAAAGCAGGAAGGTTCTATCCTTCTTTATTAATCTAATGTTAATTATGTAATGAGTTAATTGAAATTCCAGGGTTGAGCTAATTAATATTTCAAATTTTAGGAATCATTGAAATGTTGTGAACATTATTCGTAGATTTGAACGCAGAAGTAATACCGTAACGAAATTATAAAGAAAAAAAAAGGAATTTTCAGGCTGAAAAGGAGAAGCGACATTCAAGCAGAAGTAAGGAAAAGAGGAAGGAAGAAACTGAAAGTAAACCAAAGGTAATTAAAGAAATAGTTCACAGTAATGAACAAGGAGATTCCATTGATGAAAGACATTTTGAAGATATTGCACCGGAAACATCTTCAGTGAAGATGGAACCAGTGGTTAACACTGATCAGGAATCACTGGGTTAGAAATTTATAATTTTGAAAACTTTATTTTCATTACTTTTTTTCGTAACTTGCCGCTTCTCTGTGAGAGCAGCGACCGGATCCACCTGAATAAATTAACATGATCAGATAATATAGTTCTTATAATATGAATTAAGAAGTGAATACATGTCTATTTTTTATCGATCTGTTTTCAAGTTCCGTATCTCCGTGCTTCACTTCTAAGAATTAATTGGTGCATTCCTAACATAACGAAATTGGATTCAGTAAAATTCTTCAATTTCTTAAAAAATACGTCAAATATATATATATTTTGCTTTGATCATAATAAAATATTTCTAGTAAATGCGAAGGCAGAAGATATAAGAAATGAAAATAAACAACCTTCGGCATCACCAATATTAGAGGAACAGCTACGGTTCATTATAATCTTTTTTAATTTATTCCAATTAAAATTTCAGAATATAAAAATTTCTTGGAAAATCTCTGGTGCTCATTATTTGCAATATCCATATATCATATAATGATGCGTAAAAATTTCTCTTCAGACAATCAACATCATCAGGAAGACCACGTACATCAGCCAATAGATTGGGCACTGCTGCAGCTCGACCAGCTCCTCCCAAGATTAAGAAGAAACGAGTGGAAGAAATTGATCGAAAACCAGAGACCGCAAGTTCTTTTTCAAATAAAATAAAACTTGTAATTATCCAAATTTTCTTTTTTATAAATCAAACAATAGATTCGTACACGAACAAATTATTTCTTTGATCTTACAGAATGTGCAAACAAGCGGAGTAATTATTGGTGAACGAATGGAAAGTGATGAGTATTTTGTTGTAGAAATTGAACCATCATACGATCAAACTGATCAGATTAATGATGATGAGGTGTATTTTTCTAAAAACTTAAAGATTGATGCAATACAAGTTAAAATGATCACCGTCATATATTTTTCATAAAATCTTTATCTTAAAAATTAATCCGTCTCATTTAGCCTAATCACATACTCTTAGGTTATCAGTACTTAAGCTATCCCATCAAACCTTGTAATCCTCAACTTTAAAATTAAAATTATCTCTTATACAAATATTATCCAAGAGCCACTACACCTAATTTCAGCTAATCAGCGAAGAACATGGCGGCTTAGTACGGAAAATTCTTGAGACTAAAAAAGAACTAGAAGATAAAATAAGCAAAGAAGCTTACAGCGCTCCCATTAGTGTATTTGATGAAAAGAATCAAGCAAGGTCACAACAGGAGGTTTTATATTTCATTTTATTAGTTTCATCTTCTAATCCTTTTTGGTTTCTTCATCAAGTTCTCTTATCTTTTGAAATTGAGCTTCATTCTAACAGGAAAATCAGCATATGAGTTCATTGCTGATATATTTGTTCCTGCTAATGTTAGCATTTTTTTTCATTTCTTAATTGCAGTTAATTTGATTTAATTGAAGAGTTCAAGTCTCAGCCAACGAAAATTTAAAACTAATATTTGCGAAAGTTTTATTTTACTTTTCATTTCCATTTTTTTCAGCTAGCTAATCTACAAAAGACTATACAGCAGATAACACAAACAACGCATCTACTTGCTCGTTTCCTTGATAACGTACAGGTTATCATTACTTATTCTATACATTTATGATATTGAGAAGAGTTATTATAATGCGAATTAACATCTGCCCAAAACAACTGAAAGGAGATGATGCTGTTTCTGTTTACTTAATGGTACTTTATAGGAAGACGCTGAGATTATGTTAAAAGAAATGGAAGAATGGTGTTTAGAAAGCACTAAAAATATACGTGAATTGCGAGAACGAAAAGCGAATGCAGAAGGATCATCGGAGATTTTACTGCTGAAGTTGAATCAGTTAGATGAGCAGATCAAAGAAGTAAAAAGCGCCATTGTTCAAACTAAAGCTAACGTAATAGCAAATGAAGAGAAAATTCGAATTATTGTTAATAATATTTAATTTTCAATAAATTTCATAACAATCTACTTGTCTAACATTCATTACTTTCACAATTCAAGAAAGTTTTCCGTGTATGCCAACTAGTTTGAACGAACAAATGGATTTGACTCATTTCTAAGAAAATTTTTTATGTATTAATTTGGATAAATAATATTTGCAAACAACGATACGATGATATGCGAATGGAGAAAAAAAAAGGAACATTGAGAATGATAAAATTTTTTGAGGGAATCACTTTTGTGTTATCAAGTCCGTAGATAATAAAATATTATTTGTTGCAAAGATAATTCATTAACAGAATTTCTTTAACAATCATCGTTTTATCACAAACATTTAGCAATAGACTTCACTTACTCAAAACTCAATTATTGCCGCATAAGCCATTTGCGCTTTCCGTGCTAATGTTTCTGCACTGTTCCAGCACTCCTGCATTTTGTGAAAAAAAAAAGGAAGATCAATTTCAATAAATTTGAAAAGAATCATTGTTGCTGAAATGATACTTTTTGACAAATTTCAATATGCAATTGTCTTACTTCGCATGGTTTTTTGGATGCGAAAGATAAATTCAGTACACTTACAATCATTTCTACTCTATCTTATTGCTATAATAATTCAAAAACGTTTGTTAGAAACACATCGCGTTGAAATTGCTTGAGAACCTTTTCACAAAATTCAAAAAGTCATTTAAAATGTTATTTGAAGTGCTAATTCGACTATCTTATATGAAATAGCATGCAGATGTTGTTTTTGTCACCATCATTACAAATGTTCCCAAAAGTTTGAAAACAATAAAAGTACAATGCATTATTTTTCATATCTATTTTCCAAAAGTTTCTTTGTAATTTTTCATGTAAAATTAATTAAAAACAATTTATAACCAAATTCAAAACTTTCAAAAATTAAAGCAAATAATATTCCTTCCGCAGCAGAAAATAAAAGAAAGAAAAAGTTGAAGTTGCATAATGCAGATGGATCACCTGTTGCTCTGCTATCTTTTGATCAGTCTTATCGTGCACACACATTTGATATACTTTTGTATTCAAACAGTCAACTTTAGACTAATACCTGAAATGTTGTACTTAATGTAAGGCAGACTTATGAAAGTTTGGAAGAAGAAATTTATGTCTAGTATAAACTGGTTAAAATCTGAAATTTTTTATGTATTTATTTATATCATCATGCCGTTATATAAAATACATGGACTCTACTTCATGACAAATTAAATTTTGTAGAATTAAGAGTTGAAAGTACCAGTTTATACTTGAAAGTACTCTTAATTCTACAAAATTTAATTTGTCATGAAGTAGAATCCATGTATTTTATATAAGCTTCCGAATGTCCTGCATTTGAATTTATTATTCTTATCAGAAGTTTTGTGAATAATTGATACATGTTTAAGGAATCAAGTTATAATTTCAGATGAAAACAACTACAGAATTCTCGGTTTTCTTCAAATAATGACAGCAGCAATTTTGACTGCTCTAATTAAGATTGAAATGCCACTACCAGTAAGTTTAATCTGATTTTCACTAACTGCTTTTGAAAATTCTGTGTGTGAACAGATGTGGTATTTATCCAGATCATAAAACCTTACCTATCTGCTCCTTCATGCTTGTACATATTCTATTCTAACATTTTTAAAAAATAAACATGGATGTTAAAGTCTCTAACAATAAATTTACGAACATTCCAGAGATGTGTTCTTGATATCAAATTAAATAACAATATAGATTATATCAAAGACTGTACATTCACATCTTCAAACTTTAATCTTTTCCAATAATTGGTATAGCACTATAAGTGTATTTTAGGAAAAGGTGTATTTTTTTTTTTACAATATTTATAGGCAAGTGATTTTGTAGTATTTATTTTTCTTACCTACATTTAAAGTTAAAAAATATTAATGAGTAAGTTTGTTTTTCATGGTTATGTTTAGCATGTAAGATGTTTGAAATTAAATGAATGATATCATTTTGCTGCTAAAATTTGTTTTAATTTTTTGACATTTATTTAATAGCAATTAGTTGATAGAGCTTAACTGTAAGCTTATGAACAACTGACCATTTGCGCAAATAAAAAATATAAATGAATTAAATAATCGAAGGTATAAGCGAAGGAGAGTGCGCACAGTGTTGAGCCCCAGTAGGTAATCACTCCATCTTGCGCTTCGTTGTGATACCATGTGCTGAACGTGCAATGTATACCGTAAAAAGAGAAAAATGAGCAATGTGCAAAAAACCGAAAGCAGTAGGAATCCATAAAAATTATTACCAAAAAATTTAAATATCGATTTTTTGCTTATGGAAATTTTTACTTCTCAAGTTTCATTTATAAACAGTGTGATTGTTACAAACAGTTAAAGTGCGGTCATTTCTGTTTTTTTCTCGCGAACTTATGGTATAATGTGCTAAAGAAGTGATTTGTGTCCTCGCTTTTCTATTCTTTCCCTCACTTTTGATAATTAATTGTACGGATAAATGTGAATAGAAAGATATATTGCAAGAAGCTATATTAGAAATTATTCCAAAAAGGAAAGAAACTTATTTGAAATGAATTAATAAAATTAGCCATGTCTATTCCTACCCAAAAAACATGAGCATACTTTTAGATCATGATCCGAGGTAGAGGTCGGGAGGTCATGAGATTTAGAGGCATTAACAATTTTTTTTTTTTTTTTTTTTTTACTATTCTAAGCTATTTTATTGTTGTCTACAAAATTGATTCGATTTTGCTCCACTAAGATGACATATTCAGCAATGTCCCATCGAGTTTTCACATTAAATGCTTTCTCGTGTTCAGAGTATAAAAATAATGTTTGCTATTCTGCTGTATCAAATCATGATTTTATAATCATGATTAAGTGAAACACTGATTATGCATGATAATTGCAGTAGTTATTAAAACTGTTTGCTTCAGTTCCGCATTTCCTCTTAAAGGAAAAGACGATAGAGTCATGCATTGGTACGACAGTGTGTACGAGGCATGCAAACACTGCAACGGATATACTGCACCCGAAGCGCTCTATGGACCTGAAAGGATTATAGCGAATGGATGTGAATTGCAACATAAAACGTTTTCATTCGTGTAAGTTGTCACCAAATAATATCTAGCAATACTTTAAATTTCTTATCAGTTTTTTATCTTATATGCGAATATTGTCAGAGATTCCGCTAAAAGATATCATGAAATGTGAACATTACAATGAATTGTATTCCAATCAAAGAGTTTTAAAATCATTATCAAAACTGCAAATTTTTATGCAAATGCATGAACATGATTATGAATAATATAGAGCAATGTAAACTAGAAAAATAAAAATAAGAGAAAAACAAATCAGAGTCAAAAAGATCTAAAAATCTTGCCTTTTTTTTTTACCATCGTTTTTCTCTTTTTTTCCTCCTTCCTCCATTTTTATTCCGTCAAATCGTTCTGTTTAATTAAATTATTGCATCTATTTTTTTTTTAAAAATGTAAAATCAAATTACTTAGCATTCAACTATGCTGCAATTCCTTCTCTGTTTTAAACAGGAAGACTATTTATCAAAAAAATTTTGTTGTTTCAAAGTTGAAAAGGAAATAAATCCTGTCAATTATTAGGAAAAAAAAAACTTTTGGGAAGTTTAATAGAATTCATATCTTTTCTTAATTTTTTCTTTCAAAACTTTCTAAATGACTTATTGTGTTTTGTAAATGATGAAGACAGAGCAGGACGGAAAATAATTGAAATAATGATTTAAATAAGCTAATGCTATACTAACAGCTATTAGCATCCAATGCTTGACCACTGTTGATCAAGCAGTTACGGTTGGATATTCTACTAAAGTCACATAAATTAAGAAAATCACAAGAATGCTGTCGTTTTTACTGCGAAGTTTTGGTAATCTGAGGTTCTATTTAATGATAATTATTCTTTACAAATGTTAACTTCAATGATTTATGGTGGACCACGCATTACCATAAATGTTCACACATTTTTTTATAAACATAAAACTGTTTGCTTTCGAATTTAGCTGGAAACTCTATAAATTCAATATAAATAAACTTATTTTAATTTGAGGATGAAATGTATGTAAAAGTTCAATTGAAAAGTAGCAAATATTTCAGTGATTATCGTTCGGGAAGAGAAGTTCGCTTATATGGTATTATAGACCGATACACGCCAGGTGCAGACGCTGATGAACTGGTAAATCAGCTTGTTACTGATTTACTACCTTTCGATCGTACAACCGACCACATATTGAACAACAATCCCAGCGATCGACAGGTTTGTCAAGACATGTCTTTTCCGTAGTTGACTATTTTTGTTACATAACATTCGTACAGGTTCACGTTATCAGCGATCTATCAACAGTACAGATTATCACTTGATAAATGATTGCACAGACTGAAGTGCATAGGTTAAAATTCTGTTATAGTGTTTGTCTCATATAGTTCTGGGAAGTTGTTTCGCGTTTTGCACTTACATTGAAAAATACGACATTTGGAAAAAAATCGGAACTTGACATAAGTAGAAACAGTAAAATTGAAATATACAGTTTGCAAAAATGAACAAAATATTCATTTTATATTTACTATCAATTTATGAAATCTGATCTGAAATGATTGAAAAAAAAAATCAACCATCAGCTGCGGGTATTTACTTCAAAATTACAGAAAAATCATAGTTGCTGGAAAGCTCGGATTTTATAAATCTATGTGTGTTTTAGATATATTGTTTGTTGGATGGAGTATTACGCAAGGTTTTTAAAGTCGATTTAAATAACGGCAATGTAAACACACCCTTATATTATGGAAACGACTCACAGGGATCACCTGGATCTTCTGGAAGCATGCATGGGAGCAATGGCACCGTACAAATAAATGGAAATTTTGTAGTACCAAATAATGGAATTAATTTGTCAAACACGGTAATATCGAATCAACCAATTACTGAAGTAGTAGCTCAGAAGTTGTCTGTGATGCAGTTCCTTAATTTTTATAAGGATATCATTGAACGAGTAGATGAAGCGGCGAATGCAGACGAGAAAAGACACATGAATTCGGTGGCTAATATAAATCAAGTTAATCTGATAACTCCTCCATTTAATCCGTATAACATGACACCAATGGCACCAATGGCACCACTACAACCGCTAGCACCATTACCACCACTAGCACCACCAGTGCCACAGTTTCCATATCCGCTGGGAAATCCCTATCCTCATGTTGAAGTAACTTCAAATAACAATTTCATGTACTGCCAACCTCCTCCAGTGTATCCACCAAGAAGAAAAGGTAGTGCGACTAGTAGAAAATTTATAGCTCGCAATACAACTTTACCACCTATTATGGAATCATCTGAAAGATGGTGGACTGATGAGGGTGAGTGTCTGACACATCTTAATCAACAGCAGAATCTTAACCTTCCGGGAAATGCAATTATGCCGCAATCAATTCCTCAGCCAATTCCGCCATTCCAGTTAACTTCTGCGACACCTCCTATAGAAGTTGCTCGCAGTAGTAATGACGACCAATTTCTCCATGAAATTGAGAGAGTGGCTACTGATCTAGGTTTTATCGAGAACTATGTTTTCAAAGAACGCGGTGAAACACCAAGTGTTAAAAGTGAGGATAAAGGTACCATCGTTGATTCTTTAAATTGCGGTGATACATTTTCCCCATTTACGGCAGCAGCAATCGTCTTTATTTTTGGTGACAAAATGTTCGTTGGCAGTATTGGTGATTCGAGGTAATTCAATTTGCCACTTACATTTGTAATACTTTTAAAGTTAATTCATAAAAATAATTTAAAATTCAATTGGTTGTATCAACTTTTAGTCACTTTTCCGACTTTCACTTGTTGAATTTGCATTATTCTAACCTAAGAAACATATCATTTATATCTTTTTGAGGTAGATAATTGTTTCTATTAAATCTAACTTTTGAGTTTTCAACCCATCGTTCAAATAAAATAACATGAAATGAAATTATTTTAAAATGATTGCTTGATTCATTCTGCATTAATAGCTTAATCAATTGATATTCCATTAAATTGTCCACCTAGGGTTATTTTGATGCGCCAAAAATGCCATTATTTGGATGTAATGTATTTGAATGAGCCACCGCTTGCTTGGTATCCTGTAAGTTAGATCTTTATTCACCAATATTTTTTGCTCTTCGTACTGAACTTTTTTTGGTCGGAATTTCTTTTTGTCCGTTAATTTTTCCGTATTTTTTTTTGTTAATTTCCCTGGTTTTTTTTGTGAGTGCTCAATTTCAGATTGCAGCGGCAAAAAATGCATGTTTCAAAGGCAAACATTACATTTTATTCCAAGAACCGATCATTCGTGGTGGATTTCTGGTGAGTAACATACCATTTCAGTAAGCGATTACTATAAAACTGAGAAGTATGAAATGCTTTTATAGATTATTGGAACAAATTGTTGAAAATTTCTACATTGAAGTATAATTTTAGATTAATGATTATTCAATTTTTCTTTTGATGTTCAACGAAGGTGTCGTTACGAACATGTTAAATTTGAATGACCGTCACCGAACTTCCAATGAAATAAATCGAACCGCTGTCCAAATGGTCATTAAAATTCTTGCAAAGTATCCTTCAGGAGGTTTAACTTTTATTTCGTATATATCCTATTTGTAGCAGTTCTGTTGTTGTAGAAAAAAGAGCATACTCTCAACGCCATATTTTAAAAAAAGCTTTTTTAGTGACACTAACTTCTGCTTTTTTAGAAAGAATGTAATCTGAGAAGTTCTTTTTTATTGTATTTCAATGAGCCAGTTTTACGTTCTTAGCATTGGATGATTTCTTAATACTTGTGTGAAAAATTAAATTAGCTAAAAAGTAAGCTGTCATTGAAAACGATAAAGTTTCTAGAGAATTGACCGAAAAGGAAGTTAAATTGTAATTAACTTTGAACTGAGGTAAGAAAATTGTTGAAAGATTACATTCAGATTAATTTTCAGATATCGCACAAAAATTTGTAGCACATATTAAGCACAGCTGCAATCGAAAATACAAGCCAATCACTGTATTAGGTGGAGTTAGACGAGAGGCGATGTCATTTCTGTATGTGGACCTTCGACCACTAGTTGAAACATTGAAAAATGCAAAGGAATACGATAGTAAAGAATATGATCATATTATGAAGATTTGTGAACCGCAGGTTTGCTCATCTTTCTGATTTCAACTTTGTCATATGAGCTTTTCTGTTGAATCTTATTCATCCACTACATTCAGAAGTTAGGTAGAGAAACTGTAAGAACGATATTTATTCAGTTTATCTCAAAAATGAAAATTTGTTTTGCACAAACGGTGCAGCAATCTGCTAGAAATACCACAGCGTAATGTTACTAGTTTCTCTTCGTATCAATAGTTATCTGCAACCTGAGTTGAAATTTGTATGATTCTGCATCACAGTACATTGAAGTGGTAAATCTTACCTGGAATACAACATGCTTAACTCTGGTGTGTTTCATAAACCAAATTTTGAACAAACTGTTATGCGAACAAAAATTACATTTAATCACTTTATCTTAATAAATGGAATCTATGGCGTCTTTTGTAGAAGAAAATCCATTAAACTTAATGACGGGCTATTGAAGGAATGATTTTAGCTGAATGTTTCGGAACCAAAAGTGGAATCGCACCCAAAATTGAAGGAATATTCATCTCCGCTGGAAGTGGATGAGGAAACTGTAAAGAATGCTACATCGATGAACAAAGTATATGATATGTTTCAAGAAATATTTGAGCGTGAGGAACGTGAACGTCGATTAATGGAGAGTATTTCCAACATAAGTGAAGATACATGGCTGTTTCTGAGAAGTGATCAGAATTAAATACAAAATTGAAAGTGTAAAAGACTTTCAGGTGATCTGCAAAACTCTTCTGCTATTGCATATACTATCTGATTGATCTTTCATATATTTCCTTAAATATCATATTCTGAAGATTGATCATTGATCATAATTGGTACATGCATTCATCACTGCATTTTACTGTTATTTCTGCATGCTAACACTGCCAAATAAGCTCATTTTTTTGGGTATTGGTGGCAAATTTTGAAATACTCGTCTTCTTAGAGCTTTTATGTATGAAATGTTCATGTCTGATTTTGGATATGTAAGCTGAAACATAGGAAAAAGTGGAAAGGGAAAGAAAGAAAGAGGGAAGAAGTGATCAAAAGCGCAAATTTTTAAAGAATTGCCCTGTATCGCACTACTATCAGTTATTTCGTCTTATTGGAAAAAATATTTTTATATAAAGGAGATGAGCCATTTTTCTCATTATTGAACTAGTGATTAATGGTTTGCAGGAAAAGGGCAATCTGTTGATTGTATAAATCAATTAGTAACAAAAATCAATTTATATGAGAATAAAAATGCATTTTTGATAGGTACAGAATATATCAGTGTTTCATTTATGGTAATTCCATTTATAACAGTGAATATTGTTTAATTTATCTTCACTTTCATCACAAATTTTTAGCGTAAATCTTAGCAAATAGAGCTATTAGCACAGCAAAATTAAAGCCTAATTGATAAAGCGACTAAACTATAATGTTTGATCGGTTGCCGGCAAAGGCTACGATGTTTATTATAGTCTTTCGAATATGTTAGATCAATATCATTATGTCTTGCCATAAGTGTGCCATATGCTTGAGCAATCCTGAAATTATTAAAATTCAATCGTTTTTTTTTAATTCTTGATATACAGTGTGATGTAACATTGTGTGGTCCGCTGTTTTAGCTTTTGTATGATTTTAGAGTTTGAACTCAGTTGTTAAAGCATGTTGTGTGGTCCAGTGTATTGTTTATTCTTTTTTTTTCCATGCTTTTAATAATTCCATCAGTTACGTGAATCATTGTAATGTCATTTATTTTTGTTTTTTTTTTTTTTTTTTTTTTTTTTTTTTTTTGATATTCAATCGTTTTTTCCGTTTATCAATCATATTAGTTAAAACTTTTATTACTACATCCAAACTTTTTTATTTGAATTTTGTAATAAGGAAAAATACAATTTGGGATTTACCACGTCTTCAATGATACAAAACGATAAGTCTTCTATGAATAAAGTATCGGAGATAAAATTACAATTTTAAAGCATTTATGCACATCGATGTTCTTGCGCAAAGTATTACGTGCGAGGAATACTTGTGACAGTAAAGTTATTAATCACTTATTATACAAATAACATCTTCTGTTATTAAAGCACTTGAAAACCGCAGAAGAAGCAAAGATTTGGAAGTGATAATCTAGCGTTAACAAAAGCTTCGAGAGGACTTGGCTAAATAATATGCAACAGGGATTTCTTGAAAAGATAGAATTTAGACACATAGATGTGTGTGAAACACTATTTCCTTGCAAATACCCTTCCAAACCTAATATAAAACAATAATATTTACAAAAAGCTAACTATGTTAATAAACAATTGCAATACAACATGTACACTATCGAAATACTATATCCAGGTACGGAACTACTGTAGCTATTAGTCAGGGCCATGATCCGGAAGTCTTAAAAGCGGTTGTTATGTGATATGCTAGCACTGATCATTGTATGCTAGCCTTCTAACACACTTAAAATGGTATTTACTAAATTCTGATGCAGAAAATTCGCATAATCAATGCTTCAAATATTTCGTATACATTACTGTATGCCTTACCATCATTCGTTAGTTGGATGGATGAAATAAGTGAAATTAACCACCGGTATTGCTTATACTTTTGAATGTTTGTTTTACAGCACCCTGAATAAGCTTACTAGCGAATTCTTCATCCAATCGGAAATATGTTTGTACTTTCAGATATCGATCATGCAATGATAACCTAATGTAAATGATTCCGATTAGGAAGTATGATCGTTCATTAATTTTGAAATTTAGTTTTCGACACTTGTATGATCAAGTATGATCAACATCTTTTGAATTGATTGGATGTCAGACATCCTCCTACAATGGATAAATACGAAGAAAATATTTAAATTATTCATTAAAAAAATCACAAAAAACAAACTTTGGATTTTTCAAGACAATTCCTTTCATAGTTGGTATAATGATACCCACCCGCAGGATATCAGTAAGTAATTGCTCCAAAAATTCAGCACCGAAGAGGCCGAGATCACCAAATGTTGCTTGGTCAACATCACGAACACGAGATTCAAGCAATTTGAAGTCTAAATTTTCGATCGAGACATTTCCAATGATTGCTGTTCGATTTAACCACAAATTAATGCTGGATGTCATCTTCGTATCAGCTCGTATGATCTGCAGTTGGAGAGTTGAACATTATATGTATCTTCATTTAGTCCTCGTTTTTTTGTGATACATCAACTTCACTTGAAAATGTTGTATTTATACTAAAAAAACATTCACATATACAATTTTCTTTTTCTAATCCAATACCATCTGCTCAAAAAAAAAGAGGAATTTTTTATTTTCCAAAGTTATCCAGCTGCCAACTATGATATTGCATATAGTTTATCAGAGATAAGCTTAGGATGCTATCTGTTAAATCATTCCGCTTAATTTATCCACTGATCGATCATCTGTCACTAATTTCTCCCATTGTTACATAGTCGGAAACTTACCATTACTTTGAACTGTGTCGAATTTCGCGGTCTAACAAACATATTCATACTGCCATAAAGTCGAAATCGTGCTCGATTTTCCACAAAAACAAGTAACGGTGACTAGAAAAGGAAAGCTTATCATTTTTAGGAAATTCTATTAATCATTCTACTTTGGCACATTTTATTATCAAATGCAACAAAAAAACTCTGATAGCGATGGAACCATACGTCAAGTAAGACTATTACTTTAACAACAATGAAATAAATCAAATTGAACTTCAAATCAATATGCAAATAAATGAACTGAAGAAAATAATAGTAATCGAAAACAATATTTCTATAATCTACCTTTCTGGTCGAAAATTGAATCTCAACTTCACGATTGGGGAACTGATTAGACAATTCACCAAGGTATTCACCAATGCAATAGCCATTCTCACAAGTGGTCAATAAAAGAGTTTTAAGTTGTGGACTTGATTCAGGACCAACAATAAAATCCATATATTTTTGTTTATATGCATGAAATAATAATGAATTGACTATAAAATCCGTTGCGATAAATTCTGCCATATGAACACCTGAAAATAAAAGTTTTCCTTTTCAATTTTGAATTGATGTTCTGCCATCGACAAACTTTCTCTTTGTTCTTTTTTTGTGTAAAATTTGGTGAAGTACATAAACCATATGAGTCATCCTTTGTTTTGCATTTATATTAGTATAAAGTGCTATTAAATGGATTTAAATACGAAATTAGCTTGAAAATGTGGTGCAGAAGAATAAATCGCTAAGAAAAAAGTGGTGAAATTAAGTTTGATAAAGGTTTTAAAATGGTTTTGGGTTAAAAATGACATAAAATTGTGAACATATGTGATTAATCATGATAGTAAAGTTGCGATCACACTATTTGTAACTTGGATTTTGATAGACATGAAGCATTCACTCTGATAATCTTGCAACAAATATTATGTGTAGTGTAAAAGTAATCATTTTTCAAACATATGTAAAAAGCTAGATTGGATTCCCATACAAAATTCAAAGCGAGTGGGGAATCTACCACATAACTAATTTAATCTATCGACTAATTTAGCAACTGTCAGTCAAAGTTTGACATATGCTACTGAACAATTATTCAATCTACCACTTGGTTGAGGAATGTAGATATTCGGAGGATGGAAAGGAGTTTCACCATAACCATTCCTAAAAAAAGCAAAATATTTTATTTCCTGAATAATTGTTGGAAAAAAAAAAAAAACTTGAAAATTACTTTGAAACGACATTAAATAAATCATTTTAATATTTTACTAATATTATTTACGCTTATCTCTTAAAGATTTTTCATTACTTTGCCATGTGGACTTATTTTTTATAGAAAGAGAGAGAAAGAATTGTAAGAAAAACTGTACAAGAAGCTTTTTTAGTACTTACTGACAAATGAAATTTTCAGAAGCATTTTTTTTTAATTTTTTTATGCATAAAATTTTTTTTTCTTTTAAGGTGCATAATATTTGAAAAAAAATCACACGTTGCGCTTTTATAATCTACATTCATTTAATTTTTATAAATATTTAAACTGACCAAGAAATTTCGCCCCTTGATAACATCTCAATAGTTTCATGTGCGATAAGTGGATCACGAATGAGTCTATAATCCAAGATAAGACTTTTCTGTCGTAAATGATTGACAATATTTAATAAAGTAATATTTTTAGCACCAATTTCGCCAAATCTACTAAGTGGTTTTCTTGCTGGTAAATTAAAAGATATTCCAAATATATCGACCGAATTTTCATTGATAGGTATCTAAACTGTGATTTTTATTAAAGTTAAAATTTTCATTTTAATAGCAATAACTTCACATTCAAAATAATATTTCGAAACAATGAATTAAAAAAAAAAATGTGGGGTCAAAAGTAACTTTATTCCCACTATGACTGCATTAATTCAAAAAAAAAAAAAAAAAAAAAAAAAAAAGATACCAGCTAAAGAACTTGTTTGATAAATTGTTGAGTTTAGTAGTTTCTAACATATTTTCGCTCTAATTACACGCAGTTCAACTTCATACTGCGGATTAAAATGAAATTTTACTTGAAGAGGCATTGTTGCCAATATGTAATTCATATCTTTGTTAATCATATTTTTTACCATTTGGCTTATACGATCCTCAACAATTGGTTTGAAGTGAGCGATTATGAAAGCTGAAATATAATTTATCAATTAACAGATTGAAGAAAAAAAATGAAAAATAAATGTGAAATAAGTGGCCTATTTGGATGTTTTTGATCCCCATATGAACATTTGCGCTTTATACCTTTGAAAGTGTTGATGAAGAAATCTGTGATAACCCCAGTATTTCGGACATTCAGATCGACGTAGCCAACATCAGCACGGCAATATGTTGATTTTACCATTGGAGCACCAGCTCGTGTTCTTTAAATTTGTTAAGTTGAAAATATTTTAAAATTATAACTTGCTTATATTCAAAACAGTGATGGTGATGAACATGCATCAATAGAAGAGGCTAAGATGAACGAACCTAGCTAATCTAACGGCCATTGTTAAGCTTACATGACCGAATAAAGTTTCGAATTGTCCACGAATTGGTACCGCTGGAATTAGAAACGGCCCAGAAAATATTGCTTCAAATTCGCCTCCAGCTCTAAACAACATGTTATTTTAAAGCAATAATTCAGAATGAAAAATGAATTTATGTTTAGTTCAACATTTTGGAAACAGTTTATTATTATTATTATTATTTAACAGCTAATTAAACAATAAATTACATTCATTCTATTTCAAACCTGATATGCATTTTAGCCATTGACCATGTAAACATATTTGGGGGCGACAATTCTAGACTATAATCAGATGGTGACCAATATTTCGAAACGTATACATCATATATCGAAACCTGAAGTGAGAAGATGAGGGTATTAGTCATTTTTGAAAATTCAACGAATATCAACTTAAAAAAAATACTACCACAATTCAGAATAGTTCGATCACTCAGAGTAATGCACTTTCCAGTAATAGTAGGCCAAAGAGAAATTCCTTAAAACAAGAAAAAAAAACTGGTCAGAATCTGCTCCACTTTCAATTTACCGACAAGTGAAAATGTCGGTCATTTAACGAGAGCATATATATATTTACTTCCTGCTAGAGAGTAATGAAGACCGTTTTGTTTGTTGCTTACCAATTGATGAAGAATGATTTAGTTAAGAGTTATATTGCACAGAATTATGTTACGATGTATGTTTCACTAAACTCAGAAACTTCTTTTTTCTCCTATTCATCCATTCATTTTGAAAAAAAAAACAAGCAAGAACAAAATTATGGTCATTTTAAAGAAATCACTGAACTAATGATTAAATATTCACAAATTAGCTCGACAGACCAGTATAATCTAATTTTCTATTGTTACGAACATCTATTATATATGGATTGATAAAGAGATCTAGATATATATTTACCTGACCAGCTTCAATAACTTCTGTAATGGTCGGTAACTGAATTCGCAATATTTCATCATTCACAATTTTCATGCCTATTTCACGTAAGTATGCGAGACCAGAGGACATTAATCTCATACGGATACCAGGGTTCTGGGCATTCGTATTTGTCTGGAGCAAGAATTTTAAATCAAAAGAGATTTGACATATTTCTGAAATTTGTGACAGCATATACGTCTTAACGCTAACGATGCTTTGGAAATTATTGTTATCACAATGAACATATTAAATTAGTTATGAATGATTGTTATTTTATTTAAAAAAAAATGAATTTGAAGTATTTAAAAAAGAAATACGCATGAATAGTGGAAAATATGCAAAACATTTAAAAATTGTACATTACCAGTAATAGTGTTGATATATTCTCATCCCCAGATATTCGTGTATTCGGAATTATGAAAAGTAGGGTAATAATCGTAAAATACATCATCACATTCCTGAAATCAATGAACAGTTCACGATGATGGGATATGATTAAAGAAGCATAGCAAAAAAAAACAAAAACAAAAACAAAAAAAAAGATAATTCGACACGGGCGATATAACAAATAACAGATGATAATCAACATCATATCACAGGTATCTATTGAGAGGAAGCACAACACATAATGAATCGAATGCTATCTATCCGAACAACTAAAAATATTCTGCGAGGAATGTTTAAAAACAAGTTTTATACAATAAAATATGAGAAATTGTAATTGATGACATGTTGAAAGATAGATGACAGTTGAGAGATGAAAGCAATTATGTTATGCGAAAAGAATATATTAGAATTCTAAATCATAATCAATAAAATATTATTAAAAAGAGCAATAATGAAAGCAGCTTAAGACAACTATTAACATTATGCCAGGTTGAATGTTCATTGAGAAATACATATCAGCATTAACATCAAGTCGGCCGATTTTATCACTTCATATTCGATTTGATTCCATTCCATTCCATTCTATTCCATTCCGTTTCATTCTGTTTTATTCTATTCTATTCCATTTCATTTCATTTCATTCCTTCTGGTGAATGGTGGATAGATGGATGGATGAATGGTCGAACAGGCACACATTGTACAACGCATGAATTGTTTCTCTTGTGTGCATCCGTCTGAACAGGTTGTAGGTAAACACATCATTATCCGGCCAGTCCTTTCTCATACATCAATAATAACATTTATTTCAAGTTTAATCTTACAATTTTTTTTTTTTTTTTTTTAGTAAAGAAATGTGCAAATAGTAATAATGTTTCTTTACATGAAGAACAATAATTAGTGGATGAATTACGAAAATTATTTGATGGAACATAAACAATATTTAGGATATTCCTGTAAAAACTAAATTTAGCATGTCATCGTTAAAATTATAAATATGTTAGAATGATTAATCGGACAGTGTTGATAATTGCTATCCTAAATTAATAGATATCTAATAATGATATCTTTTAAGTATGTGTTTAAATTTCTCACAACGATAACATCTTTTCAAATGAAAGAATTTGTTGCTATGGCCCTTAAAATGATTTAGTCAATTGGGGCGCTCTCTTAATTTCCGCCTAATTTCATCTGCTCGTTAATAAATACAAATAAATGATGAACAGTAATGTAATTATAGCATAATCAATTATTACTACTAATAACATTAACAGCCTAATCAACGAGGAGTGAATTAAAAAGTAATTGATTAAAGGGTTAAGTTTATGAACTGTTACATTGCCATATCCATTTTCATATCGCCGTGTATAATGCCATCAACAAAAAATATGTATTGCCATTGTAATTTTGATAATGTTCGAGGAAAGAAGAAAAGCAGCTTTGTAGTGAATGACATTAATAAAATAATGAAACAAGCGAGGAAAGGACGATTTTATAAGCCATTTTCAAACTTCTGTTATCTTTCTTAATCATCCTTTATTATTATTATTATTATTTAACATATCCTGTTATTATTATTATTTTTTTTTTTTTTTGCTATTTGAAAACGAGCTTTGTTATCGTCGCATGAAGCATCAAACATCAAATGTAATCCATTTTTTTCCCGCAATTTGATTTCGGTTTCCATTTTAGTGACCTCTTTTTATCACCCTGATAAGAATTGCGCCTTAAGTGGCAGTATCTTTTAAAAAAACAAATGAATCATTTGCAATCTAATCTTCAATGACAAATGGATTAAGTTTAATAAATCTGAATGTTAAGAGTAATTCCAATATTTGTGTCTTTTTTTTTGCATTATTTTTCAGCTTGGAATAGTTTGGAATTGAATTGTAAACAACTTCAAATTAAGTAATACTAAACATACGGAATAAATTTTTTGCAATATTTTATAATTTAATAAATGTGAAATATATAGGAGGAAATGCATGAGAAATAAAGTGTATCATTGCTACTTTTTGCTTGAGTAAAATTGATATTGTTATTGCTGTTTGATCATTATCATTATTAATGAAAATTAAACTTTCCCTATTAGTCCAGTAAGATAAAAAAAATTTGCAAACTTTGTCAATTAAACTTTAAAACATCTGTATGTTAAAAATAATTTAACGGACTGTTCATGTCTTTCGCGTATATGTGTTTCTTCAGTTTAATGATAAGCTTTTTTTTTTTTTACTGAATGCCACAGGAAATAGAGTTCTCTTTTAGCATAAACCTCGAATTATATTATTTTTCAAGAAACAAGAATAAACAATTTCATCTACCTTTTTTTTTAAATTAATTAAAGTTCGTTGACGACTATTGATCACCACATATACTAGTTTTTGCGATTTAGAAATAGCTTTTCTGCTCGACATTTTATTCATTTCATTAATCATCACTTTATACTTATTTCTTGTTACAATGAATGATTAATTTTTTTCTGAAATTCATACAAAGCATATCTTCGTATTAATATCAGACTTGTCGCTTTACAAAAACGCAACTTTTTAAAGTAGTGACTGGAGGAAAGGTACGAAAAAAGGTTACGAAATAATCTAAAGAATATTGAAAGATAGAGCAGTTCAGGATTCAGTTTTTGAATATTCAAGATTAAATGAACGATCTTCTGCAAAATATTAATGATTGACTTAATCAATACAAAAGATTCAATTAATACTGACAAGCAAAACATGTCAAGATTACGATATATTAATTAGATGTGAGCATTCTTTTTATGTTTGTGATCGTCATCAAGGATATTTTGTTATCCAAAAGTGATCCGAAATAAAGCATAAAGTTTTACTCGAGTTATTTAAATTCTGGGAAGTGTTACAAAAATATATATATCTATAAAATTTTGTTAAATCTTCTAATTTAATTTAATCGCTCGCATAGGAATGATTACTAAAATTTACTAGTTTTCCTTCAAGAAAAATTTCAATGGCAATAAGATTGCAACTTGAAAAGAAATAAGATACTCTAATATCATCGATGACAAAGGTTTGTTTTAGTAGGTGAAAAGTTAAGAAGATAAAATCTAACTAATGATATAATTATCCATAAATAACAAATCGTTTATGAAACTATGACAATTTGTTGATAATTGCCAGTAACATAATATTAGATAGCATGGCACATTACCACAAATGATTATTTCTTCTCCAAATAAATTAATTTTCATAATAGCACAATATTATCAAACACTTTCTTCATTCACTTATACAATCTTACCTCTTTCAATTCATCTATTCCTCACATCGGTTTAAATTTTCTTTTGTGCATACCACTTTGTTTAAAGCAGCATTGTAATATATATCATTTATGAAAAAGCTTACATGAATTTTTTTGAGCATACTGATAACATCAGACTATAACACATTTCTCAGTTTTGATTTATTTGTTTTTTTTTTTTTTTTTGATAAAATACATTGAATTTTGTATGGAGCCAATGTTTCGAATGAAACAGATAGGAGAAATGAGAAAGAGATCATTTGCGCTTTGCACTACCTATATTAATTAATACATAGCAATTAAAAAATTACATAAAAGGATAAAAAAATATGCACAAAATGATGATATACAAATAATGCAAAGCATCAAAAAATTTTTGAAGTGAATAAAAAGAAAGCATTCATAGAAATTTGAATACAAGAGGATATAAAAGATGCCTGAAAAATCAGGACACTAGGATATCTACAGAAGATAGAAGATAACTTTGCTTGTTTATAAGGCTATTTTATCATTGTCAACTTACATATTTAAAGTCATTCGTATTACGTTTCGTCTAAACTTACTTATTTTAGACTTGACGTATTATTACCCGTATTAGGTTTCGTTTAGATTAACATAACAGTAGGCGTTCAATAATGAATGATAGTTATTAGAAATATGTTTCGTACAGAATAATAATGAATAATGAAGTTAATTCCACACTTCTAAGAGATAGAAAAATTAAGGAAGTAAATAAAAAAGTGAAAATGATCGGCTTCAATCTGAACATTGTAATGACACTACAGATGTGTGTTTTCGTAAAAGTCCAGGGATTTTCCGAAAGAATCTGTAAGTCAGAAATGAGAATATTTTTGAAACTTTCTAAACATTATACTATCTTTGAGGAAAAAAAAAAAAAAGTTTTTTTCTAGGTAAGGACAATGGTAGATAACAACGAAATGCTTACTATAATAGAAACTTGAACACATTGTCACCCTTTTGAAACTTATTTTCGGAATACATCGATATCTTACGTCAAATTATAAAAGTGATATCCTAAACTTTCATGCAAACAAGTCTGCAGTAAAACTTTGAGCAATGAAGATGTCGTTTTAAATAAATTTAAAAACTTGAAACTGAAGTACAAAAAGAAATGAAAAAGTAATAAATGCATTTTTGGCTGCAAAGTGAAATGATTCTACCTAATACTATACTTCATGTTTCTTTTTTCTCTTCTGCAGCCAAAAGGTTTAAAAATAAAATCCAATGTTTATAATAAATAAATAAATAAAATCATTGGAAACATCACATTTTGTTGATGCGATACTAGCAGAATGAAAGATAAGAAGAATAAAGAATAGATCTGCTAGCAATGCAAAAAAAAAAAAAAGAAATGAAATGGAATACATATCTTTGGCAAAAACACGAAAATTTTGTCATCATTAATTATGATATTTTCAAAATGATGAATTATTTTAAAATCGCATTCCATACATTCGTGCTGAACCACGCAATCCTTAAAGATTACATACATAAATATGTGAAATTGTGCTATAACTGTTTAAACGTAAAATCTGCCACTATTTTGAAATGTTGGCTCTTCACTCAGTTGTTATATCTACGTGATCGGATAAATATCTGATCACGTAGATATAACAACAAAAATTACAAATTAGTGAAAAACATTCCTATGTTTATAACGGAATGAAATGGCAGTCAGTTGACATTTTTAACATGACATTCACACGTCAACATTTTTACGCAAAATGAAATAAGGCAGATAAAATATGGAAGTAGTTTTTGTATACGGAAAAATTTGATGAAAGTTATTTTTGGAATAACTCACTTAGAATGGCGTTGTAGATCTTCTTCCGAGCACCCATTGTTGAAACACCGATATCTTTTAGGTTCTGTTCGTCCAACAGCAAGAAAGCTTCCATATCAATCTATAAGTTGTGAATTTTCAAGTCCATATCATATATTCATATTATTTATTTACTTAATTTTTTAGAAAAGTGATATCGTAAGCATCAGTAATTGCTTCATACTTCTTGATCTCTAAATTGCGCAAGGTATTCACTGCAGCCTAGTTGTGCAAGTACCATTGCTGGATCCACAAAAATGCGTATATCCCAAACAGAGTCATTTCCTATTAAAGGTGATGATTCGAATACTCCGGTAGATGCGGAAAAGTCTAAAACATATAACTTCAGTGACAAATCATCTGGAAGAAAATTGAAAGAAACTCAGAGCTTACCAGCATGTTTTCTAGACACAGGAAACGAATTGATATCTACAAAATGTAAAATATGTTTTTTTTTTTTTTTTAATATCATGATTGAGTTTGATTAAAAAATGAGAAAGGATTGAGAAAACGATTTTGATCACTTTTTAAGTTAGGTGAAATCAATAGAAGGGAAGAGAAAGAGATAGAGAGGAAAGAAGATTATCTTTATTAAAAAAAAAGTCTAAAAAAGACAATAGGTGAAAGACGATTAAAATCTTTACTCGTTCCGACACTAGTAATGGGTCCTTGTAATTGATTTGATTGAAAGAGGTGCAAATTATGAGATGATAAAGATCCAATTAACGAATTGGAATTCGAGCTATCCTGATGATCATCACCATGTTCATCCTCTTCCAATACAGATGCTAAGCCTACTGAAGGCGTTATCGAACGATGAGTCTAAAAGGAATAATATTTTGAAATTTAACAAAAACTACGAAGTAATTCTATTGGATAGTTTTCTTTTTTTGGATTGTAGTAGACTGCATCATTATATCAATGAATATTATGGGAATAAGAGGGATAATTGAAAACTGGTACAAGAAATTGATTAATTTAGAGTGAAGTTACATACCGCATTTTCCATTAGATTTTTTTCCTGTTGTGTGCTTGATCGTCCATCATACTGACTTACAGTATTATCAAAAAAGTTCAAACTGCTTCTCAAAATATCTGCTGGCAATGAATTGCTAAAACCGTATCCAGCCCAAAGATCAGTAGGCTGTCGCACTTTAGCTGGATTAGTGCCGTTGTACACAGCTGAAAATATAATGACCAAAACATAAATTGATATTTATTGTTCAATATTCCTGAGAAGTCTCTAGGATACTAATGTATGAGTATATATGTATGAGAGTTCTAGAGCTATGTAGTCCTTTTTCATAAGGTGAATATTGAGGATTAAATGGAATTTTGGAATAAAACAAACCGCAATTTGCCTTGAGTAGTAATTGTTCTCTTGTTGCGAATCGCTCATTTCCACTATAAAAAGAACTTCATTTCACTAATATTTTTATTTTTATGTGCTTTTTTGAGCTTCACTCTGAGCCTTGCTCTAAAATATTAGAGTGAATTTTAGGTCTTGAAGCTAACACAACTGCATGAATGATACAGTCGTAGAAGAATTTCCTGAAAAGGATGACTTACCTCCTGAACATATCAATTTGCTTGATTCCAGCAAGTAAAGAATGAGCGATTGGAGAATCATCTGGGTTCGGAGTTATTTGGGTATATCGATTCTGCAATTAAATTTTAATATAGTAAAAAGTTGTAAAACAAATTCAGATACATCGTTCGACGTTAACTACTTACAAATTAATAAACTTTTATTTGTTTGCGTGACAGCCATAAAAAATATGAATAGAAATGAAACTTGAAATTTAAGACTTGTGAAAGATAGGATGTATTGAAATTATAAAAAAAAAAAAACAATTTTTACGCTTATGTAAACGAATTCAAGTAAAAGATAAGTTTTAAACATACAGCGTCTGCTGTTGGTACATCAAGCAGAGCCTCAGCCAAGCGGCATTGACCATCAAAGTTACCAAATGTCGGCTTGTGCAAAGAGTTTTGTGTGGAAATGTATAAAGTTTCTATGTTGGCGCCTACTTTAAAATTAACATTAAATGAAATTGTGAATATTCTACATGAATTTGACTATCTTAATAGGAACTATTCTTTTTCCTAATTCGCTACGTAAAATCATTTTTGTTAGCAATTTTTACATTCAAGATTTAGGCTAAGGAATAAATATGACAAAAGGTACGAGAGAGAGAAAGAGAGAGAGAGAAAAGGAAATTAATAGAATGAGGAGTAATTTCCCTGTTTCGTTTCAATGAGAAAACTGATTCTAACATTGTCAGAACGAGAATTCTAATTGAAAACATACTTAATAAATTTTGCGCTTCAGTGCGCATATTTTCAATGAGCACTGATATATGACCATTCTTAAAGAATTCGAATATGTTCGGGACAATATTCAAGCTATTTTGAACCAAATTTAAGATTCGTTCACGCGCTTGATACAACATGCATATATTCATCTCACTGCTACTTAGCGCTACGAGCTGAAGAAATAATACTTTTATACATGCTTATATAATACTTTTATCTCTGTTTACTCTACCATCGTATTTACGAATAACTCCTCAATCATGTGGAATACAAACGATATATATCCTGCATGACTGAAAAGCAAGATGTAAAACGGAGGTATCATAGACTTTACCATCATTCTTTATCAAGTATTTCTTGGCATGATATTGAACACTGCTAAAATATATTTAAATCTGGTCAATCTTCCAGAAAGGTGCATATTGAAAAACTCATACCATATTTTAAGGAAAATTCCAAACAATCATTTTGCTGAAATAAGGATAAATAGTTAAACTTGCTGTAGCATTATTGACGGTTCGACTTTTGCGCCACTTCTCATTGACGGTAATGCCGAATTTTGTTTCAATCAAAGTTTTGTCAATCAAATCGTAGTTGGATTCCAATATTCGATCAAATTGTACTGCTACAGGTAGTAAACCCTAACAATATTCTTAACAATATAGCAATTGCGTATGATACATGCACAAACACTTAACAGATAAATTTTCATGAACAGAACAAGTTGCAGAACAGAATGCAGGAAAACTTACGATAATATATTTTCGTGCAATCAAAATACCAGCAATTGGACCAACAATAAATAATTCAAAACCATTTTCAACAGTATTAGACTGAATAATATGAGTTGAAGTTTGTTGAGTCAACCATTGCATTTCCTCTTTCTTAGACTCATCGCGTAGTAACAGTTCAAGACAATTATATGCATTGATAACTGTATGACAAAGTAGACCATAATCATTCTGCAGCATTTTTTTTTATTGCCATAATCATATATTTTTTATTATTTATTATTTTTATTATTTTTTTTTTATTATATGTTTACCCATTTTTTAGAGGGAGTTGAATTTTTAAAGTATAAATATATAAGATAATTAAATATGTATTATTGAAGCTTAGAGGAGACAAATAAGTAATATGGATAGAAATGATTAAATGCTTTTGATAAAAGATAAAAAAAGAATGATGTAAAAATACACCTGTAAGTGATACATATTAGCAAGAATCATAATGGCTTTAACCATTTCTACTTCGTTTTGTTCGATTCCTTTCAAAATACATTTCATTTTACCATTTCGTTCCTCACGTAAACTAACAAAGATATCCGAATGCCCAATGTTTCTTTGCAATTCTTGAAAAGAATAACGGCATGTGTTCGGCAATTCGCATACAATACATAGTGGTGATAGTTTCTGGAAAAGAAGGAAGAAAACTAATGTATATTTATAGCATCACTAACAATACTAATATATGTAAACATTTAATTAATATGATAAGTCAAAAAGAATAATTGATTGATAAATAAGCTTAATAGATGGAATTATTTCTATTCAAATGTATTGACATGCACTACATAACATGAAAGATCCTAATAATTTAAAAGTGTCTTAGGAAACAAAATGATGACTTACTCGTAATCGTTGTCGTGCTTTTTCTACTTGTCGAACTGTTCCAGATACTGATACCTGATCAGAACTACCTTCAGCTATTTATTAATTGTAATATAACGATGATATTAATTAAGAAAAAAAAAATGATATACTTCGCTTAAAAAAAGGAAAAAAACAGTAGCATAATATAAAGCACTGATATGATAATAAAGCTTAAAGCAAAAAATATTTTGACAGAAACAAGATGGAAATGTCCATAATTCTTAGAGTGGATTGATGAAATGACATTCATGTACCAAACAAGTATTTGTTGTTCGTCTGTTGTAGACAACAACTACACTGAATTTCTCTAATCTTTTCTTTCTTTCTTTTTTTTTGTTTTTAAATTTTGACACGAAGATTATCTGAAAGGAACGATCTCAATAATGATAATACCTGATTGTTCTTTTCCATATCATGAATTCTGTTTGAATCTGGGAAATGAATATGACACATTGTATCACGCATAATATCCTGAGTATTTTTACCCTTTCGTCCTATTATTTTGGAATGATCACAGTGTGGTATTTCAATCCTCAGTGATATTTTATCGCGCTATAAAGTAGCTTTTGTAAGCGAAGAGCAATAAAGATATAATGACTTTTAAGTGTTTCACTAATGTGAGAGTAGAGGAATGATTAAGGAAGAGAAAGTGTGAGGTAATCTAAATGGGGTGACCTTACCTTTATTCTGAGTGTAGACGCAATCAACTGACGGGCGCAATTAACTTGTTCTACTGTACCAAACATTTTGACATAAGGATCTGGAAAGTATAGCGCTTTTTTACACAATTATAATTTGGGAGATGAAACTATTTTCTTTGGCTTCTCGTAAAATTGGACATAATTTGAGAAACATTAACTGAGAAAGATTAACTACCTTTTTTCGTCTTTGCACCAATTTTCAAACGACTTGGCCAAGAGATAACAGCACCAGAGAGTTCAGTAACCTGAAAAAAACCATGTAAAAGTGGTAATTTATCGCCAAATATTTGAACCATCGATGAATGGAGTGTATTAATTAGTTAATCTTTCTCAGATTAAAATTCTTCAAAAATCTTCTTTTTCTTTTTTTTATTCGAGCTAAACTTTCAACAAACTTACTTTTTGAAAGAATTCTTCTGCTGATGGAAGGAATTTCTCGGACCCGTATAGAGGCTCACCTGAAATGTATAATTTTAATTCTCAATTTTAATTTTAATTAATATTCAACATTTATTGACGTTTACAAATTGATCAATAATTGTCATCAAATCTTTTCACAACACTTATTTTATGCAGTGTTTTATAATCAAGCTACCACCAAAAAACATTCCGTACTGACTAAGGGAATGATACTGATTGTATCTTCAGAAAACGAAACAAAACTTATCTCAAAATTTGAAAATTTTAAGTCTCAAAAGTCTTCTTTGCCTATATTTTGAAATTAAAGGTGAGATTTTCAAACAAACCCGTTATCATTGATTCTAATCGTTTACGATCAACTTGTATTTGTCCCTCCACTTGGTCATCCGAAATTTTGTCTTGGGTTGTTAATCGCGTGCCTTTTGAGATCTCTTCAGCTGCTCCATGTACCCGTTCTTCTTCACTCATTTATATTCAGAAAACTGAATAATCATACTTCAGAATAACTGTGAAATGTTTAGAGCAAAGAAAAAACAACAAAAAAACGTCCATTAAAATTGTTAAACTTCAATGTTAAATGGTATTCAACCTTACTTTTCCTTTAAAAGTACAAAAAATGGAGCTATTATGAATATCAATATTTAGAAACATTGTTTTACATTTATAACCCTCATTTAAGAGCTCGGAACTAAAAATAGTGTAATGATAGTAGCTAAGAACGAGAAAAACAGAAAGAGAGAGAGAGAGAAGGAGCAAATAATTAGTTTTAGACCTACTTACGCACTTTACGTACGCGTATCACAGACCATGAAAAAGCAAGTGGGTTAGAAACGAGCGATTGTGGTAAATGGTCTGAAAGGATGACAGGTAAGTTACAAGTGTAACAAAGGCAATTGTTATACAATAAACAGTACAGTATTATTGAAAAAAAATTTTTCTGTTTTTTGGAAATATGCTTGTGTGAAATAAATTTGAAACATCTGAGATTTCTTGGAATCATTCCGTAAATTAATTCATGATACGACACGCCCACAAGTTAAATGGATAACAATCGAACAAGATTGTATACTGGAAACAGATCGTACTTCTTGCAACAAGTGCTACAATGCATCATTACATAACTTCTTTTATTGAGTTTCCATCCTCTCGAATAGTAGTGATGGCTTGAAGATGATTTATATCTATCACATTATTAGTTAAAATAAACATTGACACTAATGATTCTACAAACAATGTTTTAAGAATGGAAAACTTCTGCTTAACAGCGCTTCTGTCGTTTTTTATCAAAAAAATAGAGGTAATAAAAAATAATGAGGATAAGTAATTGATAAGAGATGAAAGAGAATAGGTGAATCCGATCAAAATAACTAAAGTGGATATTAGAGCGGGAGCGGTGAGCGTTGTAAAGTATAGGGAGAAAAGAAAGAGTATTAAAAACGGGGACTGTTGAGTTGAATAGGGGAGCCAACCGGTTGTGTCACCTTTTTCTGAAGTTTTATTGTCGTGTCTTTTCGCGCAGCTCGCGCAAAACTGCGTTGTCGACATCTTGAAAAGGCACAACAAGAGGAGGCCGTCTAAATTACTCCTAATGTTAAATGTTAATTAATGAGTTGCTTTCTTTTAAATCATTACTCCCTTCGTAACACTTATTTCTTTAACAAAACTTCCACATCCGTAACCTTCTCTCTATAAGTATAATTTACACTTTTTACACAGTTCACTCCTCAATGACGCTGTTGATAACCATCCATTGTTGGGAAATATTTTGTGGATTTCGGAAAAAAAATGAAATGCGATTCGAGATGCAAAAGTTCAAGTTGGCTTACCTTTCATTTATGAGTGAGGTTTTTTTATGAGGTTTCTCCTGTTTTACAAATAATAAATTCTCTTTAATTAATAGTACCTGATTAAATTTTCAGGTCACAACAAGGTACAAGAGTCACAAGATACTGCCGAAAAGACCGACAAAGATGTGATGATCCAAAGCTTTCTCGAATACAATTGAATTAAACATAATAACCATTGATGATTAGTTGGTATAGTCATTTAAGTGCTTTACAACCCAATAAACCTTTCTCATAAGCCTTATTTAAAATTTGTAAATAAATCATCATCATCCCACAACTTAAAAATATAAAAGAAATATTGAAACTTGAAGGTAAACACATTCTTTTTTTTTCTCGAAAGCAAATCACCTTGCAACACTTCGCCAGCAAAATGATTGTTTTTTTCTCTCTTCCTCTTTATTATGATATTTCCATGATTTAAATAGCGTCAGTAAATTGTCATTTAATGAACGAACTACTCTGATACGTTTGTCCTATATGAACAACTCAAGGAAATAAATGACACGAAAGAAGCCAGTAGCAATGTAACACTTTTATCCCATCTCCATTTCTATACCCGAAAAGTATTTTGTTCTATTCAGCAAAAAAAAGGTATATTGTTACTTTTTCAGCAAAATATTTTTCCTCTCCTATTTCAAGTTCAAATTTTTAAACTTTTTGAAGTTTAATTGTTGAAATTAGCTAGGTTATTCGTAAGAAGTATTATAATTAGCTGCATCAGATTTTATTTTTAACTTTTTGCTTTCGTTTTAACACTAAAAATTGAGCCTATTCAGATTCTATGTAATATATATATATATGAATGGTTAAAATAAAATTTACTTAAGCAAGATTGAAGTAAGGAAACTATTGGTGCAACCTTGTACTACTCTTTGGCTAAAACTTTTGACTTGCAAACATGAAAAGAAAAAATGCAAGAAAAACTGCTGCATTTTTAAAATATAAATTGAACAAATCAGTTGACAATGCCCAACTTGAAATTGTTGGTCATTCAGCAGCAGCAGCTCCTTGTTAATAATGAAAAAACTTTTATCCTCAAATTAAGCTTTTTGTCTTTAGTTCTAAGACAGCAAATTTCAAATGCTAATCTCTTCAATATTTTAAAATTTACAAACTCTAGATGTTATTAGAAAATTTGTATTAATTAAATGTCCCAAAAAACTTCTGCTTCGGAAAATATTACAGATCAACTTATTGTACAAACGATTTCGCCTATGATTTAATTTATAAATAATAAGACTTAGAGCTTATTTTAAAGTATCACAAGGAGAAAACTTTTTATTCGATTCAGATTCAGTTCAATATATATATATATTATATACTTTACGAGGAATAATTGAATTATTAATTGCTGTCTTGAATGATTTGCCAGTTCCATTCTGATTGCAATTATTTCGAATGTTGAACAGTAATTCCTCAATTTTCTGGAAAATCGTTTTATTAAGGAAAAAATTTCTTCTCCTCTTTGTAGAGAAAATATCAAATAGAAAAATCCTTATTAAGAAAATAAATTAAAATTCAAAAAGAAATAACGCTTAAGAAAATCTTGCATTAATTATACATTTGCAGAATTCACGCAATATTCAGTGTTTTTTTTTTCTTTTTTTCTTTGCTGGAAGATCTTTTAAAATCTCAGATTAGTAATTGGCTCAGTGACAATGTGGTAGCATTATTTGCATCAGAAAAATGTCGTACTGTAAGTATATCAGTTGTTTATAATTCATTCAAAACTTCTGAATATACTTGGAAAAAGTAATTCAGAAAAAAAAAGAAAAATCAGAAGAATTTCAGTTTCATTTTTTTTTCGAAATATTAACAAAAACTTGAATCATTTTTATATCACAAATAGAATTATTTTGCTATTTTGTTTCATTCATTCGCATTACAAATACCAAATTTTGGATAATTTTTTTTTACAAATTGAAGTTCACTTTGAAAATTGTACCGAGTTATTTATTTGATTCATATTATCAGGTCTGACATGAATTGAACTTCCAAATGGATATCCGTTTCTGAAAAGTATTTACTCAGAACAATGGAAGCAGAAGATCAATGTCAACCAAGCTATCATCCACCGATGTCCACGAAGCAATCACTGACGTAGATAACGAATTCACCAGTTGTATTAACAACATTCGCTATATTATGCATATTTTTTGTTATCGTCAATGCAATTCCAGTCATATTCGCCCTCGTGTTATCTAATGCATTGCTTGGAACAATACATCCATCTATCATTAGTGATTATTAAATAATAATTTTAGTGTTTTAAACTATCAAAAAAGGAAAAAATAGCGATTACATAATGATTATCAGTTTCTCAATGAGCGCTAATTACAAATACTTATTGTTATTATAGTATTAATTAGTATTAACAATATTTTTACAAATCATTTTCAACACTTTTTATATTATTTTATCATTACAACTGCATCGTAACTGCTGAAATTTGCAAAGTCATGGACATGTTTCTTCCACACTAAGTTTACACTATTTTTTTTTTAATTTCAAGCAAAACAAATGCTGCCATCACTTTTTGTTTTTGATAAAAACAAATCTTGAGATATTTCAATTGATTACTTAGCTACAAAAAAGAAAAAAAAAAGCCAAATAAAGATATTAGTTTCAGAAAAAAAATAACCAATACATAAAAAACTCAAGGATTATCATCAATGATCCACTATATCATTGCAGTATTTTCACTATTTATCGATCCTAAAGTATCTCATAACTACAGCATACCTAGAAACAATGCTATTACTGATAAAATGTGATCAATTATTGATCGGTCATTTTCTCTTCCATAGATCGTAAAGACATCCGTTAAATTATTTATAATTAACGTTAACTCTACACTCAAGAATTTTAATTTTAATTTAAAACGTTTAAATATGTTAGATCGAAAGTTGCTAACCGGTTAGCTTCAAGAAAATATAATAAACAAGTAAATTAATTTTAAGATATATCGGTTTTTAGCTCACACAGAACTGCGTAAGAGATAAAATATATTCTTCGAAACTATATTTCATTCTTTAGATATTTTTTCCCTGTTATGTATATTTGGCAAACCAGACAGTAAGATTTTTTTTACACTCAGAGTGAAATTTTTTTTATTTTAAAACCACAGTTTTCTTAAAAAAATTTCAAAATTTCTTTAGGAAATAATAGAATTCTTGAGAAGTATATGTTTTCTATGAAATTTTCTCCTTCTTTCAATTAACTAAAAATTTCTGAAAATTCTAAACTGTCCTTTCCGTATGGAAAAAACATGAAAAGATTGATTGTTCATTCTTTCTTAAAACAGAGATTGGCATTCTTTAAAAAAGCAAATAGCAACATCAGAAAATCTTTTGCAGCATGCTGTTGAGTTATTAAAACGATTTATTATATACATAATAAAAATCAAAATGTTGCTCGATTTATAAGTTATTTTTTTAAGTATTATTTGGAGTTAGCTGCAACAAATGCCAAATGATAGACGACACTTCATTTAATGATATTTAAGCGTTTTTTGTAAATTTATTTGCTTAATTGTTTGCTTTCTCCTAGATAGACTTTTATGATATTTGCTTTATCAAATAAACGTAGTTTTTGATGCTTCATTATTTCGAAATAAGCAAG